ATGAGCCACCAGCACCCAGAAAGTTTCTTCATTGTCAGGAATGTTTTATGGTCATCCAAACATTCCCAGTCCCTAACACAGCAAAGCATCTACTATGTCTTGTAAGTGACTGAGCTGTTTTGCTGAAAAATAAAAAAATTCCCCAATAGATCAATTAAAGGTTGATTACTTGTGTTCGCAAAAGAAACTAGTAAGACCCTTTAAATACTTGCTTAGTCACATTTGAAGTTCCCTGAACTAATTTTTGATTTCAGGTAGTTGTGTTTGGGGCTGACTTCAGTATGAAATAAAAATCATTGAGTCTGATTTAGAATTAACTTGGGGTGTTTGGACTCCAATAGCACAACCATATTATTAAATTCCAGATATCAACTATAGAGACTTAGGAGGTAGCATGCTATCTGTACATCACCTAAATTCCAATACCCCCCTCTCCCCATCTATCTGCTAGGTTTTTTTTTGCCAGTCTTGGGACCTGAACTCAAGGCCTAGACACTGTCCCTGAGCTTCTTATGCTCAAAGCTAGTACTCTACCATTTGAGCCACAGCACCACTTGCCGTTTTTTTCTGTTTATGTGTTACTGAGGAATCCAACCCAGTGCTAGGCAAGCACTAAACCACTGAGCCACATTTCCAGCTCTGCCCCCTTTTCCCCTATTTATCCAAAAAGATACAAGTATTTTCTGTCTCTTATTTTTCCAGTACTCTTAAAGGTAGCAGTAGGGATGGAGGACATATCTCAGTAGCAGAGCACTTGATTAGCATGTGTGATGCTCTAGGTTCAATGCCAAGCACTACAATAAAAGCCCCGAACAACAGGCTCCCAGCTAAAGACAGCAGGAAATACAATGACTTGGTAACAGACTGCCTAGGTTTGAATATAAGTACTGTTTATCTACTAACTGAATGAGTCTCAGCCTTATTTTTGTCTGTCAGCTATAGAAGGGAAATAAAACAGTACTGACTCTTGGTAGGGACGGAGAAGAATGATGAAAGGGATGACACTGATCCAGATACACTATTCTTGAACTAACATGTTGAATGGTAATAATCCCTTTGTATAATTACTTAAATAAAAATATTAATAAAAACAGTATCAACTCATAAGAGTAAGAAATATAAAGCACTCTGAGCATCAGTCTCTCCCTTAAACCATAAAATAGACTACCTGCTGAAATAAGACTCAGAATTGTGTTTTACCTTTAACTGAACATTAAAAAATTAATCACAGGTTGGGGTATAGCTGCTCAATGGTGCCTCGTACCCACAAAGCCCTAGGTTCAATTCGTTTCACAGAGGAAAAAAAAAACAGTATGCATAATAAACATAGATGCTGAAATGTCTTCCAGACTTAACATTCCCAACTTTAAATGATTTAATGTTCTCTCTTCAGCTAAGATTATAAACAGCCACTGATTAGTTTTCTAGTAAAGTGAATTCATTTAAAATAACTGCTCCCCCCCACACACATATTTCAAGAGCTCTGAAAAGACACTACTCAGAACCAACTAAATGTTTACACCACTAGGTACAAACCCGATGAGTACATTATAAAAGAGAATAATGGAACATGGTAAATTATACAGGACTCTAGACATTCACACAACAGTGAGACCAAAGGAGGAGAACACAAAGGCATAATGCCATTTTATCTAAATGAAATTTTAAAAAAAGAGAATAGCATAAAAAGGAAAAAGATCTCATGCAAGTATAGTAAGCAAGAATGTCAAACACTGGGCTGGGAAGGTGGCTCAGTGGTAGAGCGCTTGCCTTGCATGCCTGAGGCCCTGGGTTCCATTCCTCAGCACCACATAAGCAAAAAAGAAAAAATCCTGAAGAGGCGTGGTGGTTCAAGTGGTAGAGCGCTAGCCTTGTGCTGAAGAGCTGAAGGACAGCGCCCAGGCCCAGAGTTCAGGCCCCACGACCAGACCCCCCCCAAAAAAAAGAATGTCAAACATTAAGCAATTACCTTGTAATTTCATAAAGAACCTTAAATGATTTAAGGCCAGCCCCCCCCAAAAAAGCCCCAGTCTTGGGGCTTGAACTCTAGGCCTGGGCCCTGTCCCTGAGCCTCCTTATGTGCTCAAGACTAGTGCTCTACCACTTGAGCCACAGAGCTATTTCCAGCTTTTCCTGAGTACTTTATATTGGAGATGAGTCTAAGTTTCCTGCCCCAGCAGGCTTAGAACTGGAATCCTCAGATCTCAGCCTACTGAGTATCTAGGATTACAGGTGTGAGCCACTGGCACCCAGCCCCCCCCCAAAAAATATATATATATTACTCTAAGGGAAAAATAAACTTTTGTGTTTAAGAAGGTAAGTTGAAATTGGTGTGTATGAAAGTAAGTTGAAAGATGACAATTATATTAACTTCAAAGTTCTCATTTTACAATTTGTGCTCTATTGTACCTGAAACTCAAGTATCCTTCCAAATACTGAAAACTATTTTTAGTTTCCAATCAATGTTGGAATGCATGTTGTTTACAGGTAAGCTTCTGGACCTATAGCCCTTTTTTGTGTGTGCCAGTCCTGGGGCTTGAACTCAGAGCCTGGGCACTGTCCCTGAGCTTCTTTTGCTCAGAGCTAGCAGTCTATCCCTTGAGGCACTGCGCCACTTCCAGCCTTTTCTGTTTATGTGATACTCAGGAGTCAAACCTAGGGTTTCATGCATGGTAGGCAAGCATTTTACCACTAAGGCACATTCTCAGCCCTTGCCATTTTTTTTTTTTTTTTTTTTGCCGGTCGTGGGGCCTGAACTCTGGGTCTGGGCACAGTCCCTCAGCTCTTCAGCTCAAGGCTAGCACTCTACCACTGGAGCCACAGCGCCATTTCTGGCTTTTTCTGTTTATGTGGTGCTGAGGAATGGAACCCAGGGCCTCATGCTTGCAAGGCATGCACTCTACCGCTGAGCTATCTTCCCAGCCCCTTGCCATTTTTTTAAACAAATCAATTAAACCAAAAGCCTTTTGCCACTACCAGTGGCTCAAGCCTATAATCCTAACTTAGTCAATAGGCTGAGATCTTGAGGATCCATTTTCAAAGCCAGGCCTGGCAGGAAAGTTGTTGAGACTCATCTCCAATTAACCACCAAAAAAGAAAAGGCTGAAAGTGGGACTGTGGCTCAAGGCTCACGTGTTATGTGTACTAGCTTTGAGAAAAAAACTTCCGCACCCAAGACATGAGTTCAAGCCCCAGGACTGGCACCCAAAAAAGTCACAAACTTATCAGCAATATTGATAGAAAAGACTTTAGAAACGATAAAGCATTTGAACAAATTACAAATTTAGTTCTGTTGAAAACTATAATTTTATTATTGATGAGATTTAGAGAGTAACCCGATTTTGTTTACTCAGCCAAAAATATGAACCACCATTAACACCGTGTTTTTCTACTAAGCGTGAGTATCAGTTTCAAGCATTCAAAAATATCACAATCCAAGGAAAGGGCACAAATCTAGCAAGCAAAAGTAACATCATAACACAATTTCAAAACTATAAGTAACTACTAAAAAGAAAAGCCTGAACCCATTCTTACCTAAACTTTTAGGACGAGCAAACTTCATCAGCCTCACCTTTGGTTTTCACCTAGCACAAGAAGCCGTAAAGGCAGAACACCAACGCCGCCCTCCCCCCGCTCCCAGCCCCAAGATCAAAAGATCCACTTAATGTCACATAGGGTAAGACGACTAAAACATTACGACATGTTATTGCATTTAAGTTACCAAAGAACAGGCTACTTCCCCACGCTACAGCCATTTTAGATTCAGTCTTGCTTCTGATTTTCACCGGGTTGAGAGATTTAAAATAGAATAAAAATGCTGGTCAACTCAAGATCAACCAATATTTTGCTCGTGTAAAGGGGTAGACAGTGGATAGATTGACTCTAATTTACTACCCACAAGAACCCGGGCGCCGGGCGTGAAAACTCTTTTTCTTCCTCAGATACCTCACATTTGACTTACAAGATGGAAAACAAAAGTCGGTGGCTCTTATTCTAAGGAAAGAAAAAAAAAAAAGAAAGAAAGAAACCCGTAAACCAAGCCACCGAAGCACCAGCGAGGCGGACCGCCTGGAGGGCGGCCGGAGCGCCGCAGGTGAGCGTTCGGACCTGGAGAGCAAAGTTAAAGTAGAAGCACTCCCGACAAGCCGCGGAGACGCTCGGGGGCGACACTTCAGGCGCGTGGGGTGAGGGGGCGCCCGAACTACCCGACCCCGGGGCTCCGCTCGGCCTTCCCAGGACGACCGACACCCAACCACCTGTGTGCGACCTTCCTCCAACTAGTTTTCACAGACGGCAAGCCAAGCAGCGGGCGGAGCCCCGCTCCAGGAGACTCCAGGGTCCCCCTACGGCTCGGTATCCGTAAACCCCCACTCACCCGGTAGCCGTGGGGCTACGGTCAAGGATAAGACGCTGCGTCTCACGACGCGTGTCCAGCTTCTCAAACCCACAGAGGTGACTAGCCTACAACCATAACAAAGCTCTTCCCAAAATGGCTGCCCGGCCCACAAGGCCCAAGGAGGGGCAGAGCGGCTGGAGGAGGAGGAGCCACGGGAAGCCTGGCCCCGCCCCCTCCGGCTCCGCCCCTCACACACCCACCCGCTGGAGCGCACGCGCATGCGCAGGGGGCCTCCCGGGCCTCGGCGGCTCGGCAGGGCTACGCCGGCGCCTCACACGCTCAGCGCGCGACCGCGTGAATGGCGGTTAGCCCTTTCCCGCCCCCAGCTCTCTAGAGCTTCCGGCGGTGCACAGTCGCCACTTCAGAATCAAATCCTTTGCTTTTCCTTGCACCGTCAGTGAGGCCAGAGCACCTGAGTTTAATACTCTTCCTCATCTGTCCCAGACCAAGTGAGCCAGTGAGTGAGGTGTGTAGAAGTATACCAGTCCTTCGCCGGCCCCCGTTCCTTCTTCACCCTCGCACATTCCTCTCAGGGAAAGCTCGCGTCGCCCAACTACCGCTACCAGTATGAGTAAACCAGTTTCGGAAGAACGTGTTTCCCTACCAGCGCACACCAGTTCCTGGATTCAGGTGCGCGCGTCCTTGAGACTCCAGCCCCCAGCGGGCCACCGGACCTGCTCCAGAGACCTGCGCGGCGGAGCCTGGCACGCTACCCGCCGGGAATGGTAGTTCCTGGGCACGGAAGGAGCGTTGCGGCCCCGCACCGATGCAGGGCGGGGTCCCGGGCGGGGTCCCGGGCGGAGCCTGCGCCTGCGACTGCGCCTGCGCTGAGAACCGGAAAACCTTTTCTCCCACCCGCAGACTCGTCGGGTAACGCACGACGTAAAGGGGAGGTGCTTGCGGAGCGGGAGAAGGAACTAAAAGTGAAAGCCTGGACGGACGGAAAGATATTACCGTTCCGGAGATTTCGCTGCGGCCCTCTCCCTCTCCGGAAGGGGGCGTCTAATGGCAACCCGGAAGGAAGCTCAATCTAGAATCAAGCCTAAACTGGCGGGAGTGGATCCTCTCGCGTTTGCCTACTTAGATGGAGACGTTATCCTTAGAGGCTAAAACTGCCTATCACCACATCCTTCGATGGACTGATAGGGAAGTGACTTGGCCAAGGTGACGCAGTCAAAAAATACAAGCAGGAGGAATACTTCTGGATCACCCCCTCCCCCGGCCAAAGTTCTTAACGCCCAACCTAATTTATAAAAATGAAAATTCTGCTACTCTTTGATCCTTATTGAAGTCTATAGGTCCTACCAAAGAAAACAGAAGTAAATAGCGCTCCTCCAGCCTCGGTAGTATATTAAAGGACCCAGCTGAAGAAGTAAGATTATCCGGTCAATCCAATACCTCGTTGTTTTGCAAAGTAAAAAATAAAGAGTTCTATAAATATTTGGCCTTAGACTCGAAAATCAACTATTTTCTGCCACCACCGTCACATTGAGATTGAGTAATTGCACTCTACCTTCCCGAACTCTGCAGGCAGACTCGTCTAGCTGGGAACCCTGGAATACAGACTGTTAAGGTACCTTGTTCAACAACCGACTTCAAGAATTAAGAAAAAAAGGTCCTCAAAACAGAAAACCGGGCCTTGGAACCATTGTAGCTCAAGTCAAGTCCCTACCCGGACTTTTTTTTCCCCCCACCTTCTTTTTCCGTTCTCAGGAAGTGGAGGGAGTGTTTCGCTCCACTCGCCGGAAGTGCAGTTCCCACGAGTTTCTGGGCTTCTTTACCGCTCGGTTTTTCTTTCCCCCGCGCGAATCTACTGGAGAGTGAGTATTGAAACCAACCAAGGGTGCATGTTGGGAAAATGGTCACCAAGAATTGGTAGTAAAAAAGTAGTTCCGAGGACTTCTGCGTCTGAACTACGATCCCTCTCCTAAGATGTAGGCTTGAGGCTTAGTTTGCGAGAGTTTTCGCCTAAATTGAAGACCGGAATCTCTCGTTGTTATCTCTAAACTTCAGCATATCACTTGGTCTGGGCGCTGTCTCTGAGCTTTTGGTGTGTGTGTGTGCCCAAGGCTAGCGCTCTAACACTTGAACCACAGCTCCACTTTCAACTTGAAGTTAATTGGACATCAGAGTATCACGGACTTTCATATCTGGGCTGGCTTTGAACTGCATTCGTCAGATCTCATCCTCCTGAGTAGCTTGGATTACAGGCTTGAGCCACCGGTGCCCGGCTGCGTATCACTTTTAATACTAGTGACTTGGGCAAAACCCTGCTACCTACAGTGGTTAGAGTATCAGGAAGTGGGAAATTTAAATGCATATAAAATATATAGTTACCGTACCAACTTACAGATAAATTTTTGTTCCTGCTGTCATTTCGAGCTGTAAATTTTAAATCCCCAAAGTTGATAACTAAGCGGGATGGGATGGGAGAAAATCAAAGGGTACAGATCTGACCTTCCATTTTAAAGATGGGAAAGCTTGTACTATAGGAAGCACTTTACCAATATTGCACAGCTTGGAAGTGGAATCCGTGTTTTGTAAAATCCGTATCTTTTTTCTGCATATTGCTTTTTCTGTTACACCAAACAGAAAATTAAAAGAACAGTTGGAGAAAAAAAAAAAACTGTTTCCTTTATATGGTACTGGCTCTTTGAAAAGCACCAGTGAGTGTTATAAAAGGAAATCGTGTTCTATGGAAAAATTTTCATGAATTACTTTGTTTAAAAGTTTTTAAAAATGGGGGCTGGGAAGGTGGCTCAGTGGTAGAGCGCTTGCCTTGCATGCCTGAGGCCTTGGGTTCGATTCCTCAGCACCACATAAGCAAAAAGAAAAAAGCCAGAAGTGGCGCTGTGACTCAAGTGGTAGAGTGCTAGCCTTGAGCTGAAGAG